ATCAGCCCCCCCCCCAGTTGGCATGAAATTCAGGTAGCCGAGGTGAACTCGTACGGCCTCGGTAACAAGCCACCAAGTAACGCAACAATCTTTCCTTCCTCCCAGCATTCCCCATTTGTTCCCTCCCCCCAATTTTTTCCCAAAGCCTCTTTCCCTTATTGCGTGTACCGAAGAGTCTAAAACGAGAACCTAAGACGAGCAAAACGACCTAAAACCCGTCAATGAAAAAAAAAAACCAAAAAACGATGATGACAACCGGTGAAGAAGGCCCTTACGGGTCCGTAATACGGGTATATCCAGCTCATGCCCCGAGGGAGGTTACCGAGTATTATAGCGGCAAGAAGTGCCTCTCGGAGCCCACAACGTATACACGTAGACTCATCATTGAGTCTGGACCAAAGCGCTTCTTATTCCACAAGCAGTCGATGCTATTTTCATCCAACCAGTTTGTGCTACCTGGTGTGGTTAAATAAAAATAAAAAGAGGTAAAACCGATTCGAGTGAAGGGGGGTAAAAAAAAATATTATACACCGAGGGGGAGAAATAGTCGTGGAAATGGCGCCGGTGTAACAGAAGAAGACGACTGACCTGAAAGAGGACAAAGACCACGATGGGAATCATGAGGAGGCACCTTCTGCCCATTGGCCTCACCAGAAAACGAGTTATGTTTGACCGAGCGTGCACCCCGGGGTCGCGGTCCTCTACTTCACCGACGTTTCTTTTATTTCTAATTGTTTATTCATGGTTTTTTATTCGTTATGGATGGGGTCGTTGCCGAGGATGTCCCATTCTCATGTAAGGACCATTCGCGGTCTCTTGCCCTTTCTTTTTCATTAATTTTTTTAGCTGTCGCTTCAGCTCGATGGCGGAATTTTTTTATGATAATTTTTCATATTTTGTCGCCCTGTCTCCGATACTAGTATTCATTTATTTTGTGGTGTTTTCAGGGATTTCTTCCCGATTTAAGGATGCCCATGTGTCTTTTATAATGGAAATTGGTTAAACTTTCGGAAAAATTAATTTCTTCAGGCATGAATTCATTTTTAGGCAAATGATTTTTATGGTGGAAAATTCATTGTTTATAAATTATTTATAGAAAATGCTCGTTATTTTTAAAAATCGCAATTTTTCAATCATTTCATCAATCTTCTTTCGAAAGTAAAATTTCTAATTTTTTTCACAAAATTAGAATGACAAAGTTTAAATTAAAAAATCATGGTAAAATGTCCTCCGATGTTTGACTCCAGAGAAAAGCATTTCACTGGAGAAAAGATACTATAAACAATTCGAAAAATTCAGGTGAATGAATTCTTGAATTTTAGTTTGATTCCACAAAATAACTTCTATTGGCGATTTTCTATTAAAAAAACACAATTGATAAACCTCCGGAATTCTTCAATAGAATCGGCAAAAAACTGGCGGAAATTCCCCTCGTCCTCAGGCCACACGAGATAAAATAATAAATTGCGTTTAATTATTTAAACCCTACTAACTAATCCCCTCAGAATTTCCAGTAAAAATCCAGCACAATATTCCATCGATTTCCTTAGATTTTTTTACGCGTCTCGATAAATAAAAAATGATGAATAAATGAAACCCTCTGCGACCGACGTCTGCATGGCGTGAACCTCCATCGGCTGCATGGCATGACGAGACTAACGTTAAGAAAAATAGTCTGTTGTGTTCAGTTCTGAGAACAGAACACAACATAACAAGAAGAATCAAGTTGAAAAAAAGTCGCTTACCTGGCTCTCTCCGAGAAGGTGGTGATAAATAACCGTGCTCGCACGTTATTGCATCCTTTTACTCTTCACTCCGTGTGCCCAGTCTTGTGCTAAACTTAGACTCGTTTTTTTTCATCACTCATTTAACAACTTGGGCCATTCATTTTTTCCCCCCCTCTCAACTAATCTTCATTCGCATTTTTACACTTTTCTCAACTCGTTGCAACTGCGAGGGGTTATTAATACTGATATTTTTAGATGTTGATGGAGCAGAAAATACCTACTTTCTCTGAGTGTACGTAGTAAAAAGACTTTCTATGCTAATTATCGAATGGATCTGGATGATTATCAAGTTGTTTATAAATAGACGCGCGGAGAAAATAAGGGGGTAATCATCGGGTGCCAGAGAAAACCGTTTCCTTCAATGGAAAGGAGTCGCAAAAAATTAAGAACATATTACCAGATTGGTAATAAGTATGAGGTCTTACGGATGATGGAAAATAAATGCAGATGGAGATTATTTTCTGTGTAACGGGGTTGCTGTCCCCTTCAATTATATTTTTGCTGGTGAATTAAATAAGACATTTCTTGTTTTCAAATGTTGCAGTTACGGTTTTTTTAGTCTTGCATTGTAAGGGGTTTGATGTAAAAACAACTGGGGAATGAAAATTGTATTTTAAATAGTTTGATGTGATGAAATACTATTTGAAATAAATTTTCCAAGTTGACTATTTCGATCGATCAAATACTATTCATTTATTTATCTTTCTGGAATTGAAATAAAATAAATATTTGGTATTTATTTCTAGTGGAATAAAAAATGCAAAAGTATCAACTATTCCATTTTATCATTTAAATCTATATAAAATAGTTGAAAGCTTCTCAACAAAACCAACAAAATAATAACTATTTTGTTGCTATCAATCATAAGAATTGTTTCTCATTTCTAATTCTCCATTTCAATTTTTTCCTCGTAAAAAAAATATTTGAAATACAAAAATGAAAAGAATTCGATGAATGATTTAAAATAGTATTTTTCCCAGCTCTGCATAAAAAATACCAACAGAATAATTTCAAACTAGTTAAAATTCCTCATTTCCATTAAATTCTCTCATCCGCGATGAACTTTAAAGAACTTTTCACGGATTTAGATACAATATTTATCGACTCTGAAGACATGGCCATCGACTAGTTTCCCACGATCCATTCACCAAATCGGTGACATCACCCGTCATCCTGGAAATACGAATGAATAAACAAATAATCCCCGATCAGTTCCTTGCATATTTCCCAAGGACGTTGGATTACGTCCTTTCACGATGATCAAATCCCCCCTGCCGGTTGCCACAGATAATCGGTGTGTCAGGCAACAAGATAAAGGGCGAATGTTTGTCAATAATTCCGTGGTCAGGTCTCCCTCACTGTTTACGGTATTACAGATACAGTCGAGTACAAGTTGTATAAGCGTGTCAGCCATACGTACGATATTATGAGTTATGGCATTAGTAACCGGGTGCTAACCATCCTTGTCACACGTTTAGTACCTGTAAATGTATGCAACGTCATCGTATTCAATGTTCGTGCATCAATGCTGAAGGTGTGGACGGGGGGGTAGAGATGCCGCAATGAGGGGAAGCCGAGATTAAAACCAGTTTGATGGAAAGTGGCGAATGTGAACAAAGGTCGACTGGAGGACACTGACTGTTCCGTCATCTTCCCTTTCGATGGTGTTTTATCATTAGCATTATCGGTATCCGATCGTTACGGGTGGTTTATCGATCTGGTAACGATCGCAGTGGCATCGGAAAATGTCTTGCCACGGAGGAAATTATTTGATTAAAAATTAGACATTTTCTTCGGTAGAAGATGATGAGGAATTTCATTGCTTGGGTTCGATGATAGAAAAAAATTGAAATTTTGGGGAGAGTTACAGCGAATTCAGTAGCGAAGTGGTAAAACGGTCTAAGTCGACTTATCTCTTAGTTGAGCTTTTGAAGAATATCTCAGAATCGAAAGGAGATAATGAAATTTTCGGAATGACCTTTTTTCGGGAGCAAATTGAGGGCTACAAAAATGGTTTTGACAAAAATTTAGATATCTCCCTTAGATTCTGAGATATTCTAATAACTGGCCAAAGTCAAAAGCGACTTAAACAGTTTTATCACTTCGCTACTGAATTGGATGTAGGGGGGAGAAATGGTGGAATTTTTTATTTCACTGGAAAGTCTGTGAGATTTTTCAGCAGCTGGAAGATGAGAATTCCCCAACTTGTCTGAATTTTAAATAAAAAAAATATATTCGGTAGCAAATTACTATTAATTTTCAATTAATTAAAGTTTGAAGAGTGAGTATGCACCTGAATTTTCCTGATTCCTATCAATTTCCAAGGAATTATTGAATTAAAATTCACAATTTTCGTGAATTTTTAAAATAAAATTGTGGATTTTCAATGTCGAAATATCTTAAAATTTCAGTGGAACTGTCAGTTTTTTAATAATATTCTTTTAATAATATTTTAATAATATTTTTAATAATATATTGAGATATGCAACGGAATTCTAAAGAAATCCTATAAAAATTTCCATTTTTCGCGTTTCTCATAATATTAATAATGATTTTTTCTTATTTTATTATTGCTGGCATTTATCAATTCATTTCTTTATTTCTCCATTCATTTCAACAATGCAAATCTTCATCGAAAATCCCGGCGCATTTAATCCCAGAAATTTCCGCGAACGAATCAAGATTCGTGAATTAATGTCAAAAATTTTCCGGATTAATTCCTCGAAAATTCAGAAAAATCAATAGTATCATCAAAGTCTCCCAGATCCTGTCACCCAAATGACGAAACAACAATGATGATTCATCAAAAATCCCAGGAGCCTTCCCCCCCGCCCCAAATTTCCGGGAACGAATCCACCGAAAAATTTCCAAACGTTGAAATAAAAATGCAAATCTTGATCGAAAATCCCGGCGCATTTAATCCCAGAAATTTCCGAGAACGGATCCATCAAAAAAAATGTCTACACCGATGCAACGAAGACTGTTGCCGCGTCTAACCCCAGCTATCTATGTAAACCCATGAAGGACGAAGCTACGAGGTCGTCCCATGAGTAGGGGAATACCTCCAAGAGGCCGGTTGTTAGCCCCTCATCGTCAGTAATATCCTAGTAAGAGCAATAATAGTAGTCGACTGGCTCCACCTAAGAGTGGGATATTTTCTCGTTGAGATACTCGACACCAAAGACCCACCACCATTCTGAGGAGTCTGAATTCTCCCACCACCACCTCAAACAGCTACCTGTCTCCAAGAAAGATACAGATTGACATACTATTATATATTTTTTCCCCCTGGATTTCACTCTTTTTCTCTCCACCGTCGATCAAAATGGCTCAAGCGACGGATAAAAAACGAATCTCCGAGTCTCCCTGGGTCTCATCGTTGTGACTAGCATCAGTTCACCGATGACTCCGGGTACTGTTGTCTCCAGTATCATTGGCCTCACTCTACAATACCCCATAAAGTGTACGAGGAGTGGAGGCAGAGGAGGAGTAGACGAAGAAGACGCAGAAGGAGAAGAGTCGAGGACGAGAGTGGAAACGCCACTGAGTATTTCTGACCCCTCGGGAGTCGTCGTTGACCAGTCTGGGTGATCGCAGGCCACTGAGAGCCTCTTCAATACCGGAGGACCTCCACTTGGTCCATTGGAGGTCAGTAAACCCGATCAAATATTGTATTATATTGGTATCAATAGTGAATTTGTCCATTTTGTTCAGAATTTTATTTTCTTAAAAAATTTAAAATCCACACGGTTAAAAAATTAATTGAAAAACTTTACCTAATAGCATTTTCTCTGAGAATTTCTACTGGAACTCCATGAGAAATCTCTTGAAGCTTTACTGAAATTCTATTTGTTTTTTGCGGTCTTCTATAGAAGATGACAGGAACGTCTATAGATTTTTATTCCAGGATAACATCAAGACAAATTGGAAAATTCATGCCCAAGAATTTTTACAGAAACAATTCTGACAGAATAAGTTACATAAAAAAATCAATATTTGTAGATATTATATTCGTATTAATAGTGGATCGCTCCGTTTTATTCAGAATTTTATTTTCTTAAAAAAATTACAAATCCACACGATAAAAAAATTTAATAGAAAAACTTTGATAGTGGTTTCTCTACGAAATTCTATTGAATTTTTAGCGGAACTCAGTAAGAAATCTCTTGAAGTTTTATTGAAATTCTATTTTTTTGCGCTTTTCAATAGAAGACGACAGAAAAAAGTCTACGGATTTTTATTTTTCTATAGAAATTCTATTTGTTTTTCACGGTCTTCTATAGAAGATGCCAGAAAAGTCGATAGATTTTCATTTCATGATAAACTCAAGAAAAATGAGATAATTCATGCCCAAGAATTTTTGCAGAAACAATTCTGACAAAATAAGTTACATAAATAAAAAAATTAACATGTATAGATATTTGTCTATAAAGAAGTTGCACATTGTTTTATAGAATTGGTGCGGAAAATTTTTTTTTATAAAGTTGCAATAGGAACAATGGAGAGAGCGCTAGGTTTTTCTACTTAATTTTTTCATACGGGCGATATTAAATAATTTGAAATTATCAAATGTGACGAATAAAATAGTCAATACTATTTTATTCCAGAGATCGGTAAAACATTATCTGCGATTATAATTGAAATGTTTGTTACTTGACAAATATTGTTGACAATAAATACATTTCATTGACATTTGGGAGGTAAAAACGCGATAGGAATTTGATAAAGTTTATTAACTATTTGACAATTTGGGTGAAATAAAATAAGCGAAAAAATTTCATTTAATTTTATTCAAACAGTTGAATTCAATAGGCGATACGAGTTCATTCAAGAGTTGATTAAGATGACATTTAGAATTCCAATTAAAACATTTGTCATTCGATAAATAATTAATGCAATTTCGATTCGATTTTGCAAAAAAAAAATAATAGTCTTGAAAAAAAATGAATTTGAAATACTATTCCTATTTTATTTTCATGGAATAGTGCCGCGTCCTGACCTGTCTTAATTTCCAACGACTCAAACCCTTTCTATTTTCCCCTCACGTGCACTTGAATACAGAATATAAATAATCACGCACTCTTAATTTCTCCGTCAATGGACCGTTTTACCGCTCGGTAATGACCGCTATTTGACCGTTCCAATCAAACAGATTCAACAGTAGAGGAGGTCGGGGTAAAACAGACACTTTTGACTTTTTTTTAAATGTTAATGAGGGGTTGAAATGTTGATAAAATTCAATAATTTTCCTCTCAATACAAAGAATAATTCTTTCCCTTCGTGACAAGCCCAAACGGAGCTCAATTGATCAATTTGTTTCTGAGTTATGAATAATTTTAAAAAAGTCTCCGTTTTACCCCACCCTCCCCTATATAAGTATCTCCTCCGGATATTCCATCTCGACGCGGATTTTTTTAATGACTTAATGTTGTCTTAATTTGAGGCGTCTGGCCTCGAAAAATATCGAGATATTGAGAATCGCTAGAAATTAAATTTTTTGCTCAGAATTCTGTAAAGATGTTTTGGTTTAAGACGCGGATTTTTGGAGTGTCTTAATGTTGTCTTAATTAAATACATGTTGCCTCCGGAGGTGCCCCACGCACACACCTGACTCATAAATAAAGTCCGATCATACGGTTTTACACACGATTCCACGTTACAATTGAAAATCCATCGGTTGTAACGCAGATGCGTAAACCCGATGGAGATCCGATACAGCGGTCGACAGACCAAGGACGTGGGCGGTTTAATTCTTTGCGAAAGCAACGGATTATAGATACGGTGCACCGCGTGACTAATGCCAATTCGCTATGCGAGACACGTGCAGTACTTTTATTTTTTAATGCCCCGGGATTGTTCACGGTTTTGGGCAATTAACGGTGGGTAGTAAGCGCGAGTTGATGTGCGTATGGCAATTATGATGTGAATGACGATTAGTAAACAGTTTGGAGTTCGCAAGGCTTCTTGAACTATTAATAGACGAATTTCTGACGTGGGAAAAGCCGTTACATATGAGGTGGTAATTGATGATGATGGGGAGGAGTGGCTCATGGGATCTTGAGACGTCATTCAAGATGCTCTGGCGATGAATTTTTTTTTCGCGCAAAGTGGGACTAAATAAACTGGATTTGAGACATTGATTTTATAGGGTTTTAATGTCGACATGATTTAAGACTTGAGATGGTGAAAAAATTGGGGGGATTGAAAATCCCGAGAAATCACATTTTTTGCTTGAAATTCTGCACAGATGTTTTGGTCTAAGACGCGGATTTTTTTAATGTCTTAATGTTATCTTAATTTAAGACATCTGGCATCAAAAAATGTCTCATTTTGAGTGTTAGAAAATCATGATAAAACAAATTTCAAATGTCTTAAAATTAGTTTTTTTTATGTCTTATAATTTTAAGAGTCGTGATCCGTCGGATTAATTTAAGACGTCAATCGTCGAAAAATGTCGAGGTATTGAGAATCCCGAGGAATTAAATTTTTTGCGTAAAATTCTATGAAAATGTTTTGGTTTAAGACGCTGAATTTTTGAATGTCTTAATGTCGTCTTAATTTAAGACAGACATCGAAAAATGTCTCGTTTTGAGTGTTAGGAAATCATAATAATACAATTTCTAATGTCTTGAAATTAGATTTTTTTTGTCTTATAATTTTAAGACATGAGATGAATTACTTTAATTTAAGACACCACATTTTCTAGCGATAATAATCAGTACCTTAGAGACATAATAAAACGTCTTAAACTGAAGTCATAAATGTCTTAAAAATGCAAACTCAAACATTTTCCTCGCAAATTAAGAATTAAATGTCTCACTTTTTGTCTTACAATGTTACAAAAAAAATTTAATTCAAGACCCTAGTTTTTGTGATATCCTAAATCGGTCTTAACTGAAGACGGAAACATTAATCAAATTGGGTGTATAAATGAGTTGAAATCATCCCAATTTAAGACATCAGTCCCAGTGGCATGGAAAAATACAAATATTAATTCACAATCTTTTCCTCGAAACTAGTACATCGACTCGTTATGCATGAGTGTTAATAGAGCTCAAATAATTCGGCGTCAGCATGAAGAGCATAAATCCAATTTAAACATGAGAATACCCGAAATGTGATTCGAAACTGCCGGTTTGACTTTAACGCCTGATGATGAATTCCACCGACAGCAGGATTGCTGAATAAAATATATTATCTCAAGGAATAAATTCACGCCTGTATTTACTGTATTTCCAAGATGAAAAATAGTAATCAAGCACGTCAAAACCACTAGACATTTAAATCTCTCCAAACACAAACTCCAACCACAAAAATTTTCGTTCAATTTCATTTTCTCGGCATTTAAAAATAATTTTGAATGTTACCCGTTTGCTCCTGACATCCGCGCGAATTATCTTTTCTTGTTGATTATTAAAATCTCACGTTCGTAATGATTACACATAAGGACGCATTTATATCCAACAGCAACAAAAATAATCAGACATCTTCGTCATTTCGATACTGACCGTGTTTAATTTTCCTGAAGTAAAACTCGACCTTTCAAAACATTTCTCAATACTTTTTGTTGATTGTTGGCAGTAAAAATGAATTATCATTCTCTTCATCTTTATTCATAATTGAAATCTCACGTTCATTACGATTACTTGAAAACTCATTCGTTTTTTGTAATAATTATCTCAATATCACATTTCATCGACCGCGAAGTAATCAAGACACAAACGGGTTTTGTATTTTCTCAGATACAAAATTCTTTATTGAATTTTCCTGCAACACTTCGACGTTTTAAAATATTTCCGACGGTTTTCTCATTAAGTTTTTATCGCAAACATGAATTGTACTCTCCACTTGAGACCAGACAATAAAAAAGAATTTATTTTCTTCAATAAATGCCTCTTGACATTTCCCGGAATGATTCCTCAATTTTTTCATGAATTTAAAACGAAAAATGTTCTTCAGTTGAATAGAATATCAAAACGAACATTGAGTCAGTGAATTCCCCTTGATATTTGTATGCATTCAAGAAAATAATCCCGCAACCACCAACGAATATCCCGCATTACAGCACCAATTACTCCGGAAGTATAACTCCGCAAATGTTGATTTTGCAAAGATATCAGAGTCGAGTAAATTTGCACAACTAATTTCATCGCGTCTCAATTCCCGGCATAAATAAACGATAAATCCATTAAAATTTTTCCTAATTTGCCAACTATTCTGTTTTCACTCCAAACAAAGGAGTCATTTGACTGCACCGGGTGATTACATCCCATGAGTGAAGCCTGCACTCGAACTGAACCGTTGAAAATTCAAGGAGAGTGCAAAGTGCGTTGCGTTGCGTTAATCGATGCGTTAGAACTACAAGTTTGTGAATGAAGGATTTCCCTTCACTCGTCAAATTGCTTTCCTTGAATAAAAACTAAATGAAAATCCAGAGAACACCAAATCCGTCGAGTAGTTGTAACGAATTAAATATTAATATATTATGACAATAGTTTCGGCTTATTGAGCGAATAAATTTTGAAAGAATTTTTGACAAAAATTTATCAAATAATTGATAAATTGAATTTTTTTCAACACTCAATTTTTTAGGAAAAAAATTGGTGTCTAATTTTTAAATTCAATTGACATTGAATTTTATGAAGAGGATAGAATTTTTTTAATAAAAAAATCTATGAAATAATTGACGCATTTCAATTTTTCAAATTAAAAAATTGATGATGATTGATTACAATTTATTGACTTAGCGCATCTAATTATTATTAATAAAAAAAGAAGAAATAAATTTCGGTAAAAAAATTAGATTATTTTTAATATTTACATTTCAAATTAAAAATTTTAAAAAGGAAAAAACATTCAAGAAAAAAAATTGCCGTAAAATATTGGATTACTCTGCAAATTTAAATTTCAAATTTCAAAGAATTGAAGAAAATCCACAAATTAATTGATCAATTTCTAATTTTTCAATATTACAAGTTTTTTGGAAATAATTAATAAACAAGCAATACTTGAATATTTGTCATTCAATTTTCATATCCATAAGAAAAAATCCAGAAAAAAAATCTCAAACGACAGGAAAATTTCAAAACATTTATAAATCTTTATTTTAAACATTTTGATTTATAGAGTTATGGCATGTAATTATTACTGAAAAAAAGACCAAAATTGGTGTAAAAATATGGGATTATTCTCAATATTTAAATTTGAAATTGCAAAATTGAAAAAAAAATTAAATTCATTGTGTAAGCCCGAAATTCCACTATTGAAACGAGAAAACAAAATAAAAAAATTAGCGGAAAGCAAAAAAATATTGTATTATTCTTATCGTCGAGTCATCAAAATGAAATCCTTAATGACAAATTCCAAAAAGTAGGACATTTATTTTAATCCTCCATTTGGTAATTCTAGTTAAGAATAAACATGTAATGGGGGTAGTCTCTCCGTAATACATACAGGTATACCGTTACACCGTCGGTAGGAGTGCCTTCAAACAACAGTCAGAGAGAGATGAAAAAAAAAAAGCCAAAGAGGTAGTAGACCACTGGAGTTGCTCGATGATTTGCGCTTGGCAGGGGGTCACGTGGTGCTTTATTGCTCCAACAGTAGATGTTTAAACCGCGCGCTGGGATAAAACCGCCAGTTGAGAGAACCACCGAATTGCGGTCTCTCGGGAGACAGTTTGTCATCGAGTAGCGACCAACAACAATGTGCCATGAATCGTTATTGGCCTGAATTTACTTTATTCTCGGTTGATTCGTATCAGTGGGATGAGACAGTAATGAATTTATAGAATCAATTTGTTTGGTGAGTCTCGGTGATCACTCCGAATTATTCCATTATTGATATATTTGTGCCAGAAGGCGATGTCCAGTGATGAATTTCGTGTCGATGAATTCGTGTTTACATTCGTATTCGAGACGACTCAATTCTGGATTTTGTTTTTGATGAATATCTCGGGATTGGTTGGAGATAGAGCATTTTACGTCTTAACATTTTTTGTAGAAAAAAACAAGAGCTGCAAAAAAGGTAGAAATGAAATTTTTCGTAACTCCCTTCATTTCTGAGATATTCCCCAAAAACTAGAATTTATGGCATGGATAGGACTAGTAGATATTGACGAGTGATGTCAGACAAAAAAATTAAAATTCATCCTCGTATTTTACATTAATCCCTTCACTTCGCAGTATTCCATTCTTGTATATGTCAGGAGGCTATGTCCAGTGATGAATTTCGTGTCGATGGATTCGTGTTTACATTCATATTCCAGAAGACCCAATTCTAGATTTTGTTTTTGATGAATATCTCGGGATAGGTTGGAGATAGAGAATTTTACGTCTCAACCTTTTTTGTAGAAAAAAACAAGAGCTGCAAAAAAGGTAGAAATGAAATTTTTCGTAACTCCCTTCATCCCTGAGATATTCCCCAAAAACTAGAATTTATGGCATGGATAGGACTAGTAGATATTGGCGAGTGAGGTCAGACAAAAAAATCAAAATTCATCCTCGTATTTTACATTAATCCCTTCACTTCGCAGTGTTCCATTCTTGATATATATGTCAGGAGGCTATGTCCAGTGATGAATTTCGTGTCGATGGATTCGTGTTTACATTCATATTCCAGAAGACCCAATTCTGGATTTTGTTTTTGATGAATATCTCGAGATGGGTTAGAGATACATAAATTAACATTCATATCTTTTTTGTAGCTTCTGTTTTTTTCTACGAAAAAGGTAGAGACAAAATTTTTCGTATCTCGCTCCATTCCTGCGATATTCCCCGAAAACTATATTATTTATGTTTCGCCTAGGTCTACTACATATTAACTGATGTCAGACCAATAATTTAAAATAAATCCCTGTATTTCACATAAATCCAGACAAAAGCTGACTCATTCCCACGATTGTATCAACCCAAGGAGATATCGTATTGACATTAAAACCCCAGGAGGAAAGAGAAATGGTTAAAGGAGGAAAAATGACGAAAACAAAACTGGTTCCACCGGACGGTGGATGGGGCTGGGTTGTCCTGATATCTGCCCTTTCTGTCAACTTCCTCATCCCCGGTACGGTCAAGTCCTTCGGCGTTCTCTTTGTCGAGTTTCTCCAGGTCTTCAAGGCTTCACCCACCTCAGCATCGTGGATGCCCGCCCTCTGCTACTTCCTCTACAGTTCACTCGGTAAATAATTTTTCCGTTCTCCAGCCCGAGGCCCCTCGATATGCTAATTTTATTCGATCACTTTATTTTTTTTTCTCCTTCTCCGAAACAGGACCACTATCCAGCGTCCTCTCCATGAAATATTCCTACAAAACGGTTACGCTAATAGGCGGTGCCTTTGCCGCCAGTGGAATGATGCTCAGTTATTTCGCCACTTCCGTGTCCTATCTCTATGTTAGGTAAGGAGAAAAATTATTGTGGAATTTTTTGACGATTCTTTATTTTACCGTTTTTTTATTCACTTCAATTATGCTATTGACGACATTTGTTATCACTCGTGTGTGCCACACGAGTGAGTCAATTGAAGGAAATTCAGGATTTTGTTCAGTGGTGAATCGAATGAAATGACTTTAACTCATCTTCAAAATTAGTTTTTTGAAAATATCTCGGAATTTACGGAAGATTTTTGTTAAGGACATCCAAGGACTTTGGCTTTTTTTATCGACTGAATTGTTTTTCTACTTTTATAGTCTAACACCAGAGCTTTCATTTTTCAATGATTTTATTAGTTAAACTTTGCAGGTCTGAATTTGAATCTCGGTATTAAGCCGTTAGAAAACATTTTAAAAATTTGAAAAGAAATTAGAAAACTTAATTTTGGAGGAAGACTGGTGAAATAAATAAAAAACTGCAATTTTTGAGAGTTACGAACATTTTTTATAAAGAATTTATAAACAATCAATTTTTCAAACACCAACCTCACCTGAAAAAAACGTATTTCTACAAAAAAAAAATCATCAATGTGAACTTCAGCTACGGAGTGATGGTGGGCATAGGTGCTGGCCTGACCTTCCCCCCGACAGTCTACATCGTGACCGCCTACTTCGAGAGACTCCGTGGTTTTGCAACAGGCCTCTGCATATCCGGAAGTGCAATCGGAACAATCGTCCTCCCCCCGTTCCTGCAGTTTCTTCTGAATCACTTCGGTCACAGGTAACAATCCCCACAATATTTCCCCAAATCAATCATCATAATTATTACATGCATCACTCGATCACCAGAAATTAAAAAAAAAACCCTGACTTGCCTCTTTCGTCTCTTAGAGATGCAAAATGACCGTCATTTTTGAGAATGCGTAATATGACTAAAAAATGACGGTCACAATTAATTTTTAATTTGTGACGGTCATAAATTTAAAAAAATATTTTGATCTAAATATATACGAAAAATTCCATTCTAAAATGCACATTAAAAAATAAATAAAGAAATAAATATTAAATGAATGAATAAAATAAATAACTGTTTATTTATAACAAAAATTTTTCATTATAGATTTAAAAAAAAAGTTTCACCTAAAAATTTCATTTCAAAATACACATTTACGAAAATCAATAAAAAAATAAATATTAAATAAATAAATGTTTATTTATAACACATATTTTTTTCATTATAGATCTAAAAAAATTGTTTGCTCTAAATATACATGAAAACTGCCATTTCAAAATCTGCACATTAGGCCAATACACCACGAATTCACCTAAAAATTGATGAAAAAAAAATGCATTTACATACAGGAAAAATAGAAAATTGCGCCGGTCATATGACGGTCAAAGTGACGCATTTGTATCTCAACTACCTAATCGTCACGATCCTGTACCAACACGCGACCCACAATATCGCATGCCGCCATTCTCAAAATACATCTTATGTAAAACACCAATGTCCTATTCACAATGCAAATCCCGACGTAAACAAAAACCCCCGCAAAACCAGTAACCATCGCCAGCAAGCGTTCTCCCCCTTCATTTCCCTTTGTTCGTAATTCCAGAGGCGCAGTATTGATTATGGGTGCAATTACGTTGAATACACTGGTGTGTGCGTTTCTTTATCATCCGGTGGAGGAGCACATGAAGGAAGTGGCCATTGACGGAATCGACAATGAGGCGTTGACTCTAGAAGAAAACGAGTCAACAAAGTCGCCCCAAATGATGATAGAAAACATCAACGAAATTAAGCCCGCGCATTCCTCTGGTCACGATCGCCTGGACGATCTCTCCAAAGAGCTGGAGCGAAAGCTGAGCACAACCCAAACGGCTGAAGACTGCGGGCACAACAAAGAACTCGACCCCCCGATCCCCGAGAAAATGGAAAACGTCGAGAACAACGAGAACGAGAAGAATTGCCTGGACGAAACGGCAACCGCCATGACCTGCGAGGCTGGTACCATCAAGGTGATCACCCCAGGAGTCATCCCGACCCCTCCCTTAAGCCGCACCAACTCAGCGAGAAAGAGCGCGAAAGGCGGCTTCCACTTGTCCCGCCAACACAGCATTGTTTCCGAAATGGGCCCGATAGCCTTGACCCCTCGGATGAACGTCCCGAACATGTTCAGAAGACTCTTCAAGACGCAGGAGAGAAAGAAGCGAAGATCCAGAACGAGCGCTAAATCCGAAGCCCTAGAGGTGACGAAGGAGTCGTCAACCCGTAAGAACTCTAACACGTCCGACAGCTCCTCCAGCAGCGCAGAGAGCACCAGTTCAGCGAAGAACTTCTTCGACCTGAGTGTGCTGAGGGACCCCATCTACCTGGTGATCCTGATATCAAACTCGACGTCGGCGATCAGCAACACCAACTTCATGATTCTCCTGCCGTCTTACGCGATCTCCGAAGGCTTCGACAGGAACTCGGCGGCTTTGCTGTTGTCGATTGTTTCGGCGTTGGACTTGGTGGGAAGGATTGGAGGGGCTTCGCTGTCGGACATAGACTTTATACCAAAGTATTATTATTTTGTGGGGGGCTTGGGCCTCAGTGGAATCGCCCTTGCGCTCCTGCCGATGGCGACCACCTACACCATGCTGTCCTTCTTCTGCGCGCTGTTCGGCTTGTCCTCGGGGATGTACATCGGCATCACCACAGTCATCCTGGCGGACATGCTGGGGACGGAGAAGCTCAGTTCTTCTTACGGAATATCTTTGTTCGTTAATGGGGTTCTTCAGCTGATCGGACCACCCGTCTGCGGTGTTATCTACGAACAGGTCGGCACGTACAAGCCGATCTTCCTGGCTTTTGGGATCATTCTTATACTGGGGACAGCCCTGTGGGCTGCGGTCCCCATCATCAGGAGGAACAAGAAGGAGATCGACGTTGCTTGACGACGATGAAGGACTATTGATTGCATTCTGCCATATGGAAGTTAACTCATCTTATTATCGTATTATTCGTTTCATTACTCCACTTTAGACGTTTATATCATTTGTATTTATGTCTAGTCATGTATGTTAAGGAATTGTACAAAAAGGAATGGAGGGAGCATTCTCCGGGGTGCTTCTACTGCTCAAGCTTAGTCCGTCCATTGTGGGGGGGATTAATATGGAATTTCTGGGGATTTTTTAATTAGTTGTCTGTACTTAACAGTCCGCGGTCCCGACATCCTATGGGTTTTCAGTGAATTTTTGGTCGTAAACATATTTTCGAGCCACATTTTTCGCATGATTTCGACGTAAATGTGCCCATTTTTCTCTTCACATTTCTAGTTTTATTTTTATAAATGTATTGTCACATGAAAAAACCAATGAACTTCGTACGAAATAGTTGTCAAACATTGAAATGCGATGAAAAGTGTGGCTCGCTAAAACTTTCACGGATAAAATCCGGGAAAAGTAACTCCTCGAAAACCCAATTATAGATATAATTCTCATTACTCATGTGTTTGTCCTCTTTACTCAATGCCATTCATCAGAGGCCATCCTTTAGTAATTCCACGGATGCAGATGGACCCTAACGAGAATTTAATGATAAGTGTATTTTTATTCTCCATTATTATGTATTACTGCACTGGTATGACTCATGTAGATTAATCATAATTAAGAATGCAACGTGACAATTGAAAATGACTCTTGTGATTGTATGAAATGAATCAGTCGTACATGTCAAAATGAATGAGATGATTTTATTCCCTAGTATCTCCGATAAGTCTTCAATTCTCAATTTTATACATTTACAATGAGAGGTATGAATGAAAAACAATAAACTGAATGTATTACTTCATTTCCGATAATTATTTTAATGAATTACTGAAAATAATATTTCATCAACCATCTTCTATATCCATATCTACAAGAACAAATGTTTTTCTTTTTATTCACCTCGAATCTATAATTTCAATCTCTATACACATACAGCCATTTATATCGCAAAAAAATGTATTTCCACATCTTTTGGAAAAAGCACCTCGAAATTATGTAGAATTTAACAATTACGTTTAATTGCAAAATTTTTGAATTCCCATGGCATTACAATTTTCATTACTCAATTAATAAATTAACAAAAATATCGGAATCATTTTCATTTTGTTGAACTTAAAAAAACATGAGCTATTTACAAATTTGGACACACAGTCCTCTCCCCAATCTCTCAATTCACATTTTGGCTACTGATAGTTATGGGCAATTCATTCATTAATTCTTATTTCGTGTTCATCTACACATGAATCTAAATATTATTGAACACGTTTGCGCAATGACGAGTGAATTGCCGCCCATTGAGAATATGTTTTTTTATTCAATTCAATTATTCAGTGTTTCAGGGAGATATTATGTTCGCGTGTTTCATTGCACAGTGACAAAAAATAATCACCTGAACTATTATCAACGATTCTAAATTTTATCATGATTCTTCTTATGGCTAGTCATTTCTTCATTGCTTTATATACATTTAATAATTTGCATCTGAAAGAAAAAATAGATCAATTAACGTCAGATGAAGTATTATTAGAAATGATTTACTCGAATTAAATCGATGTTGAATAACAATTAATGAGTTGTTTTGTTTTTTAAAGGTTTTTTTCTAGATTTTTGCTGAATATCTTGGAATTTAGGAGAGATATCAAAATATTTTGATATATTTTTGAGGAGCGAAATGAGCGAAATGAGCAAAGTGAGCTAGATTCGGATCCATTACACTCATAATCCAGCGATGTACTCGATTCTTCGGAAACTATAAGAAACAGTGAAAAATTATCTCGATTTTCTTGTGAGGGAAATAAGCAAAACGAAGAAAATGAGCAAAAAAGCCTAATTTCGTTCGATTTTAATCACAGTTCAGAGAATTGTTGCCGTATATCCTAATGTTCAAGGTAGGTATCAAAGTCTCAACCTCAAATTTTTCAGAACAAAATGAGCGCAATTTCTCGCATTTGGAAAATTATAAAAATGGGTATGAATAAATGTTTAGGGAGCGTAAGGAGCACAATTTGAATAATTTTGTTTCGAAGTTCATAGTAATTTCAGAAATTACGTATATATTCATCGGAGCGAAGGGAGCAAAATGAACAGAATGAGCGAAACAAGCGCAATCCGCGATAATATTCCTCGATATCACCACCAAAGATCTAAAAATTCATAGGAAATAAAAAACCTCCACATCCACACATTTTTCCAGAGCGAAATGAGCAATTCCTTTCATTCAAATGAACAACTCGGGTATTTCAACTGACTTCAATTCCAGAAAATCGTCCTTTAAGTTGAAAAAAATATATAATATTCACCATAAAATACAGGCTGAATTGAAGTTTCTATCAGACACCAAAAATTGAATTCCACCTGCGATCCCCTTACGGTACTACATTATCCTTTCTCCCAGCAAATGGTACAATGCTACGAATCCCTTTAACAGACGCCTAAAATTTGAAAGGAAATCGCACAATCTCAATTAATAACGCAGTTTAATCCATTATCTCATTAAAAATAATCGGGGATTAGGATGTGTGTTGTCAAATTAAATAATTACCTTCTTCTTAGATCCATTTAGAAAATCTCTGTACATTTCTGACCGCAGATAGCGCGCATAGCTGTCAGTCTTCATGAGATGATAAACATGGGCGGCAGCAACGTCAAAACTCCAACGATCTGGCTTCTCTAAATTTCTCTTTGTAAGCTCGAATGATCGTGAATCAACGTTGATTGGACAGCTAGCGTCTGGCCTCAAGTACTCATTCCATATTTCCTCTACCTTAGCCTGAACGTCTCGTTGAGGTAGTGTTTTCAAATTTTGAACAGCCTCCCAAAACCTTTAATCAGTAATTCATTACATAAATTTTTGCATTCACTAAAATTATTATTTCTTCAACATCCAAATGAATTCATTTTCAAACGAATACTTACTTGAGGTTTTCACTGCTATATTCCATCTCCAAAAACTTGACAAATTGCTCTCTCCCAATGGGATCTTGAAGCAGCTCCTGAAGACTAAAGCCCCATCGCTTGACTCTTCTCGCTGAGACGTCTTTCCTAATGGAAATTAAACAGAATTAAATTAATTGAATTCTCAATGTTCAATTGAAATGATAATTCCCAGAATACAAAGATGATTAAAGTCCTTACGCAATTTTCTCCTGCTCCCACAATTCCGTACTATCCGATATCCACGGATTACTGAACTCCGGCTGTGTAAACAATGGATCATACTCGACGTATTGTTCAAAGTATCCAATCAAACTGCGAATTGATTACAAAATTATTCATGTAACTGAGCCATTGTATATTGAAACAGTGAATGCATTATTGTGATTAATTGAAAACTCACGCTTCAGCAACTTTGGAGACCTTAATGTTTCTTCTGTCGAGTCGTTGTTTAAGCATGTCTATTTCCCTTTGTATACTCTCACTCGATGGTGTAATATCCGCATCAGCGTGAGTTGGTGATATTCTTCCACCGGCAACACCCAGTTGTAGATGTTTACTGGCTTTTACCATTGGTTTGTTTGTTCTGCATGCTTTCTTTATATCCAATTCCGTTGTGTTGACGCAGCCCGGCTGCAGGTGCAATTGGATGTTACGATTATTATCTGTCATTGCTGGTCGCATAATTAATATTGATTGATTACGGAGGGAAAGGGAATGAGTCTATCTCGTTTAATTTCATTTTTTATTGGATATCGTGAGGTTTAGGGGTTTGGGAAATTTTTTCTCGGAATAATCTTCGTCGAATGACATGAGCAAAATGAGAGGAACGAGCGAAACTGACAAATGATGGTGTCATTTCGCTGATGTTCATGTTCTTGATAGATACTATAAAATACGACAGATGACGCGCATTTTCGGAACATACCGTGTACGGAGCCAGATGAGCGAAGTGTAGGGAGTGAGCGAAATTAGTGCATAACACGAAATTCTCCCTCAGTTTTTAGTTTTCATGGAATATCGTGGAATAAAATAATTGAAATTGGGTAATTTTAGTGGAGCGAAGGGAGCTGAATGAGCAAGATGCAGATAATTTTATTTCAGGGTTTAATTTATGGTAAATATTTCAGAATCCAAAGGAAATAATGAGCATTCTCTCTGTTTTAATTTTTGATGGAATATCGTGGAATAAAATAATTGGAATTGGGTAATTCTAGTGGAGCGAAGTGAGCTAAATTAGTAAGACACAGATAATTTTATTTCAGGTTTCAATTCATGCTGAATATTCTAGAATCCAAAGGAATAATTAGAATTCTCTCCATTAATTTTTGAGAGAAATGAGCGAGACGAGCCAAAGATAATTCACTTTCGCTTATATTTCAATTATTAAAGATCGCGAGATCTGAGAAAAATTACAGAATTTTTGAACCTATTCTTTATGCAGAGATAAATGAGCGAAAATAAGGAAATGAGAGAAATGAGCATAAATCACGTTGGATTGACTCATAATTCCGTCTTCCGCATTCCTCTCGGTGGATTTTTCGCCCACATTTCCCCCGAAATTTTCCAACCTCTTTTAGATTTAGATACATTCAGTGGGAATATAAAATGAAATTGACATTTCCCGTTCGCTGCTCCATTAAATGAAAAATATTTACCATAGGCCTGTGCACATCCCAGAATGCTCGCTCCTGGCTATCCAGGACCTTTCTCTCCAATTTATCACGTTTCTTATCAACCTTACTCTGCGCCTCAGCTTGCATAAATATAAATTCCCACTTGCGCGAAAACATCTTCTGCAGTCTTGCTAAATTCTCCGCTTCATAGTCGGCCAATTCCAAGCGTGTTTTATTCTGCATTGTGCGCTTACAGAGGTAAACAGCTGATTGATAAATTTGGGGATTTAATTGGTGAATTAATTGATTTGTCGGGTGAATTAATTCGTCTGGCTTTTTGCGTTTTTCGACTAACCGTAATCGGTGTTCTCTGGCTCCCAACAGTTTGATGGCCAAAAGTAGGGCGTTTGAAATCGATAAAAAGTGTTGTCATTCTTTACAGTGAGGCAGTGATCGTCGATGGGAAAAAAGTAGCCATGGGAGGCCATCAAATGAGCTACACGTAGAGCCTCTTGATCATCAATGTCCATGTTCTTCATCATCCAGGCTATCAAGTCTGTACCTAAATTTAAAAAAAAATCGTCGAAAACTATTGAATTTTTACCGGGAGTTCATGAAAAGTCTATTAATTTTTTTTACCGATTGTGGATGGATATTTTATAGAAAGGGGTCAACAGATTTTCATTTCCTGCATTATTTATTCTTTCAATATTTATTCTCTGGAAACTCTTTGACACAAATTTTTTCATTTTTTTAAATCTCTGATCACAAAATCGAAGAAATAAAAACATGAAAATTTCAATCCCCAATGGAAATGCAAAAAATTTTTCTTGCAATTTTTCCATTGAATTAGCTATTAGCTGAGTTTTTGAGAAATATCTCCAAATCTAAGGGAGATAGTGAAATTGATGATAAGACCTTTTTCGTAGCTCTCAATTCGCCCTCAAAAAAAAGTAATAACAAAAAATTTGTTATCTGTCTCAGATTCCGAGATATTCATTGAAAATTGGTCCATAGTAAAAAACGACTTGAACCATTTTACCGCTTCGCCCCCTGAATTCCACTCAATTTACCCGTAAAAACCGAAGGAATCTTCGTCATAAATGTCTTGGCAGTTCTCACTGGGACACCATTAGTCTCGTCCAACATTTTTTCGACTATAGATTCCATCTGAAAAGAAAAAGAAAAAAAAATGTTTAGATAGGGTCCATCGAACTGTGAGACAGATGGATTTGCTGATATTTTTAGCAGAAGGTGTTCCCTAATCGATCAATTTCATCTCCGAAAACATAGGAACAAGTGAAAATGGTAAAATGACACTATAAAAGCTTCACACAAATACAACTTGAAACGAAAGGAGATTTTTAAAAGACAGATTGACGGCTGAAAGCGATCGATCAAGCGACCCATTTTTTTTAATTCTCTATTTTACCGAGACCAATTCATCTCACTCATATTATCATTCACAGAGGAATGAATTTTCTCGAATTAAAGTTTTTATTCTCTTCGCACTTGAGACGTGTTTGCCCTATTTTTTTTTTAACATTACAAAAATTAATTCCATCAATTACAAAGGGCGTAACGACTGGTTTTTCTTTCCTCTAATTTTTCCGTGAGAAAGTTTGGCAATTCCACTTTTTCCCAATTGAAATAATTTTTCATTTGTCAGATCATCACCTTCTTGTATACGACGTAGTTGGGACTGTCTTCGGCGCATGTTGCAGTTGATTTTGGCCTATCGACGGCAACTCCAGTTTTGACAGTAGCATCCGTCGTCGTCGTTTCCTCCTTTCTCTTCGATGTCGTACCAATTCTACCTTTACTACTGGCATTGTGTTGTTCATTGGTATTTTTTGAACAACTACCGCCGCTGTCAATGGGTTTACGCCGACTGGCGGACTTTTCGGAGCTCATAGTTACCATATCCAGGCGCTAAGGGAGGTGCACCATTGCCCCTCTGCAATGAATAATATCATTTTTTCAATGAATAGACAAAAAATCTGATTCCAGTGATAAAATTAATGGACGAGGTCGGTCAGCTTAGCGGCGCGAAATGAGCGAAATGGACACTTATCAGTCCATTATTCTCATATTTCAATGATTTTGTACATCTTGAGAAGTAAAGACGATCATAGAATTTTTACGGATACATTTCTGTCGAGCGAAGTGAGAGAAAATAGACAAATGAGCAAATTTAGATCGTAAAATGAATTTCTCGAATATTTCAAGAATTTCGGAATAGTCTGGCATTCAAATGTTATGGGAATTTAATTCCACTAATTTTCTTTCGTGTCACCAAATGAGCGAATAAAGCTAAATGAGCGAGTTCCGCTCAGGATGCTCAATTTTTATATTTTAGTGAATTTATTTTACGGGTCCTTCTAGACAATGAACTGAGCGAGGGGAGCGGAGAGAACCAAACGAGCAAATTAAGCTTCTAGCAGCCCATTTACATATCCCAGTCATTCCTAAATATTTTGAGGCTCCAAAAATAAAAAAACATGTTTTGTCATTTTTTTCAGCGAAATGAGCAAAATGAGCCACAAATCAAGAAATTTTTTCCGTTTTTCTGGATAGAAAATTTTTTTTCCGTTGAATTAAATTTTCCTCGTCCTCTCTAGAACCACAAGAGCTCCCATATAAAACCCCTCACGATGTTATTCTCAAACTCCATTGAACTCTACCCCAGTACATCATCTTTAAAAGCTCCGGCGGCATCAGATAATAAAACAAAACCTAATAAAAAAAATGAAAAGATAGAGAAAGGTCGTAAATTGATAAATTTCATTGTCGGAGATATTCATCAGCGAGAGATTTTTCCCAGTCGCTAGAGAGAGACGCTACGATGAGTATTGATTACCAAGGAAAGCACTCTCCTCTCGCTGCGCGTACCACACCAAGTTATATAGTTCTCCACTATTACATATACCGTATTTGCCAAGCGAACCGAGCGACCTGCCGTTACGTTTCACAGGTTTTACCCTACAAATGTGTTAAAATGCGCGCCAACTATCATTCTCTCTCTCTCTCTCTCTCTCTCTCTCTCTCTCTCTCTCTCTCTCTCTCTCTCTCTGTCTC